GGTTTTTTTTTTTTTTTTTTTTTTAAATTTTTGAGACAGGGTTCACTAAGTAGTTAAGTGAACTGGCTTGAACTCATTTTGTTGCCCAGGCTAGCCTTAACACTCGCAGTGATCTTCCTGCCTCAGCCTCCTGAGTGCTGGGATTACAGGCATGTACCACGATTTGATGCAGTTCTTAATGTTCCCTGAAGGATGGGTGAGTGGTCCTTGGTTTGTGCCTGAACTCTACAAGTGCTTCTCTGTTTTGTTCTTATTCAAACAGGGCCTTACTATGTAGCCCAAGCTGGCCTCAAACTCATGGTGATCCTCCTGGCTCAGGAGCTGCCACACCCTTAGCTTGTCTATTCTGAGATTTTTGTTACACTGATAAAAGCTTGAGTAAAAATGAGGGAATATTTAGCCCTTGATATTATACTTTTTAGGTGGAGAGAAGGCATAGTATTGCAAAAAGTGATGTTATTTTTTGCCTGGCATCCTGCATGCTTGGCCAGCATTCTATACTAGGCCACATTCCCACATTGTCATTTTTTAAAATTTAATATTGCTACTACTGTGAAAAAAAAAAAGTATTGCTAATCTGTGGTGATGTACATTAAATAAAAACAAAATGACTTGATATCTATTACTTTTTTAGGAGTTGGGAGAGGTTCCGAAGAGCTAAGACACTGTAGAAGTCCAAATATGGGGCTGGGAATCCCTAAAAGGTTTAGATAGAAATAAAAAACCTGAAAAATTAGTCCTAATTATAACCAGGCAGCTGGAAAATTAGAGAAAGAAACTGAGATCTATGAGATGAAACAGGGTAAGGAAATCTGAAGTTTTCTTTAACTTTGGGGCCCATGTTGAAGACAGCAGGATGGTAATATGACAGGGGTCTTGGAGAGAATAATCTTAAGACTAAAAGCTGTGTGGGTAGGAGCAGGGCTGGATAGACTTCTAAGGTCATTCCCTGTCCTTGGCCAGTTCATATTACTAATCTGTTTTTCTGTGTGTGTGTGTGTGTGTGTTTTGCATTTATATAGCATATTCATAGTTTTGAATACTTGAAGCAACCAAGATATGCCCCAGTAAGCAAACGGTTCTTCTAGATAATGGACTACTCAGCATTACAAAGAAATGAGCTACCAAGCTACGAAAAGACATAGAAGAAACTTAAATACACATAATTAAACACAAAATAATCTGAAGATGCTACATATGGGTGCTTCCAACTATTACAACTTTCTGACGAAGGCAGAACTATAGAGACAGTGAAAAGATCATTGGTTGCAAGAAGATAGTGGCAGGAAGAGATGACAAATTGAACAGAGGAATTTTCACAGCAGTCAAACCCATGAAATATACTCATCTGTTCTTTAATTTTGTCTCTGCATGATCTTTCAACTTCGGACCTGTTTGCATTTCAAGTGTCCTCTAGGATAATGCTTTTGAAACTGAATTCTGGGAATTCTGTTAGAGGAGTTTGGGTTGAGTTTATGGGACTTCTTGAATCAAACTTATCACAAATGAAGTTTGACACATATAATCTTATATACAT